AAATATTATTATCATTTAATATAATTATTAATTCTTCGAAATTCATGGGTTTAAAAATTTTTCATGTTATATATTTTTAAAAAACTACTTTATAAAAATATTCAATCCTTTATTTTTAATAAAAAATTTTTTCGACTACCTAAAAAAATAAATATTTTTAAAAACCTTTATTTAATTAACTTTTTAATTTTTTTTAATAAAAAATTACCCTGGCCTTAAATCGAAAAATTTTGGTATTCCTCCTCATGGGGCCCAAACACAATTTGGGGCCCCGATCGAAGGAATATCAAAATAACTAATTAAAGTTAAATGAACAAATCTTAAAAATTTGCAATCTTCTATAAAAAACGATTCAAAAACTGAATATTGCAGATATAAGTATTTGTAAAGTATGAAGACATTCAAATAAAGGATGTTGTTATGATTGGTGGATCACGATCGAATTAGCGCTCCATGTTTTATATATATAAATTCTAATAAAATTTTTAAAATATATAACCTTATGACTTATGAAACATTGATGCAGATTTTGGGGGAAAGAATATTTTGAAAATTTTATAAAAATAATAGGAAAAGGTAATTAATAAATTTTATTATTATTTTTTATTTATTCAACAACCCTTACCCTTTAAGGAGTAGGTGTTGTTGAATAAATATTTTTAATCTTCTTAAAATTTTACTGGAAAAAATTATGTATATAATTTGAACGCCTAATCGATCATGGGGCGCCTATCGAAACGGTACTCTTGCACGGTTTAAGGACTGTTCATTTGATAAATGTTTTAAAAATTTGTTTGTTGTGATCATAATTTATTTTTAGGGGATTTCCTTTAAATATTTTAAAGGAAAATTGATAAATGATTGAATGATTAGTTTATAAATCAATTCGTAGTAACGTAAGATTTTATACTACTATAGAAGAAATCAAAATTTTGGCCTCACCTCATCAAATTTTTACCGCTAAGATTTGTCCTTTTAACCATTTCTTCAGTACAAAATTTATAATTATTCATATTTATTGAAA